AAAAAAAAAAAAAAAAAGGCATACGAGTGAGCCAGTTTAGAAATCTTTGCATCAGGAACATTGATAATGAAGCTGGACGGGGCTGGCCATCATCTGGGCTGGTGTCTCAGGGTCAGCCACCTGCAGACCTCAGGACAGGCAGGGCTTCTGCTCTGTCCCCAACACCACCTGTGCTTCCATATGCTTAAGGCTGGAGCCCTGGGGCCTAGTTCCCCCAAGGCCACCAAGTGTGCGTTCTTGAGCAAGTCACACCCGCCTCTCTGTAGCTCCATAGATATTCTCATCGTAAAAAGGAAGGGATTGGATGTCATTTTGGCTGAAATGGTTTGATTTATGTCACTGACGGCCAAATCAGGTGATGGAGGGGATGGTGTGGGAATAGTACAGGTTGGAAGTTTTCTGAAGAATCCCCTTGGGTTTGGAAGGCAGTGATGAGCTCCTTAGTAGAAATGCCTTGGTGTGTTACGAAATGATATTACTTGTACAGTCTCGATGAGAGACCTTTAGACATAGCAAACGATCACTTTATTCAGTGCTTTGTTCCCGATGTCTACAACAGATATAATGAAATGCTGCTGTTTAAAAGGGACAGTTGGGCAGAGTGTCAAATCACTGTTGGTCCACTGTCTTGGAGACTAGTACAGATCCTAAAAAACTTTGGCTTTAAGATTCATGCTTTTCCCCCCTTTTCAGCATATGGCATATACTTTCCCTCTGTGCAATGAATGATGGAATTGTGCCCGGTCGTTCTTAATGAAAGGTGATTCCACATATCTTATTCCCTCAATGCCCATTGTGTGTTTTTAAAATAGGGCCACTTCCAGTCTCTGGTCTTCGTGTCTTCTCCAAGGGTGTGACAGAAGTTGCTCTTACCTGGGGGAATGATCATGGCACTGCCACCTGCCGGATACTCCTTCAAGACACAGGGAGCCAGGAGGAATTGAATCAAAACTTAGCAGTCAATATTTCAGACCTGAAGCCAGGGTTTAAATATAAGGTCACCCCGTATGTTGCGGAATCAAGTAAAGCACAAAGAGACACCCTGGATGGAGGGCGTGGCTCAGGTGGGTTACAAGCTTGTGCTTCTTGTCTGTTTGCTGGTTTTGCCTTTCAGTAACTTAATACTTAAAAAAAAATATTGTTCTTATATTTGTATAGAGTTTCAGAATTTGTAGTGGGCTCCTTTTGCACGTTTTAGTTTGACCCCACACCTGTATGAGGAAGGAGGGAAAATATTTTTATTTTACATGTCAGCGCATTGGGGCTCAGAATGGCAATGGGGGGGGATCAAACTTTTTGGAGGCTGTCATCCAGGAATGTAGCTGCCCCCTGTAGCTTTTCGAACATTCAGCTGAACAAATAACAGATGTGTTAACCCAAGTAGAGCCATTTTAAAAAAAGATTTTTTTAAATTGTATTGATTTTTAGAGAGAGAGGAAGGGAGAGGGAGAGAGAGAAACATCGATGTGAGAGCGAAACATCGATCGGCCACCTCCTGCATGTCCCCTAGCAGGGATTGAGCCCAAAACCCAGGCATGTGCCCTGACTGGGAATCGAACCGGCAACCCTTCGGTGCACAGGAAGATTCCCAATCATCTGAGCCGCACCGGCCAGTTGGAGGAACTGACCACACCCCCTGAGAAAAGGGATGCCAAGGCAGATTTAGCAGACATCTCCTGCGTTGACAGCGGGGTAGTCATTTGCAGATTGCATAGCATTTTTGGGGTAACTGTGTGAACTGAGAAGAACAAGTAATTCACCCCCATTTTACACCTAAGGACACAGAACTGCAAAGTAGGTGTTAGGATTCCTGGTTGCACGTGGCAGAGACCAGGCTTTCCATAGCTTAGACTAAAGAACAACTTACTGGCTCATGTATCTTTCCCGTCGTGGGCAGCCGGGCCTTCAAGAAAGCGACGGGGGTGACACTGGTCTCCTCTTCCTGCTTCTTTCTTTTCACTGGTTTTATTGGTATTGGCTCCCTCCGCACAACTCAGGGAGACATGGCCACCAGCGGCCCCCTGCGCCACCCCGTCAGCAGGGGTCTGGGCCAGGGGAACAAGTGCTCGAGCGGGTTCTGATGAACCACGTTTGACGCATGTGGCTGTCCCTGGAAAACCACGTCGGGCCTTGGTGGGAGAAGGTGGTTTCCTGAAAGAAGGGAGCGAGATGGAGGCAGATGAGTTGGGAAGAGCAGCTCAGGTATCTGGGCTGCTTCCTGGATAAAAGCGCAGAGTGAGGCACCTGCCTGAATCGGGCCTTTCCAGGCATGGGGGGGGGCATGTGGATGCTGACTGCGGGGACTGAAGGAAGACAGGCGTGGGCTTCTTTCACAGCTAACGTTGCCTTTTGTGTTTGAAACAGATGCCAATGGCACAGAGAGCTCGGCCCAGATCTCCGGGAGCCCCCTGGGCCCTGTGTATGAATACCGACTGAAACCTGAGGACCCATCCTCCGTGTATCGCCTGAATGACACGGAGGTCTGGCTTCTTGGGTTAAAGCCTGGCACAGGGTACAAGGCCACCGTTTATTCTCAAACACCAGCTGGCGTGGAAGGACAGTCCCAGGCCGTGGAATTCAGTACAAGTATGTTGGAGAGTTTCTAGCACAAAGTTCTCTCCTCTGTGAGTTATCTCTTGCTTCACAAGTGGGTTTGTTGCCACACGGAGTTTTCCAGAAGAGATTCTGGGCAGAGCAGACCCGTAGAGAGTCTCCTTAACCCTGTGGCCAAGACGCTTCTTTCGCTGAGCTCGATGAAGCACAGGGAGAGCACTGTGTGCAGACCTGGATCCTGCCTTGTGTTTTCCTTGCATTTCTCTGCACGTGAGACAAGCTGGTGTAATTTTTTTCTTACAGACTGATACTCATTTTGTCCGTGTTGGTTAAGAGCGTGAGTTTCTCTTTTGTCCTGACCTTGGGAAGTGCGCTGCTCTTCCTATGGGAACTTGGTGACATGCGCGTGGCCGCTTTTTACCTCTACTTTATCAGCACCCCCACTCTGTAGGTTGACCGGTATGGGAAAGCTTTTCGGATTGGTGCTGGTGAAGGGGTAAACAGATGCCTGGACCCTCCCCTCAGGAGTTTTAATCTCGATTATGATCGAGACACACGTCCTTGGAAGAGCACATGGTCGGCTCTGTGGGTTTGGGAGCAGACGCTCAGCATTGCAGCTCGCGGGGGCTTGGTTGCTGGCAGCAGGCCCTGACTCTGGTTGTCTTACCCAAGAATACATCTATTCTGAAAGGCTGTCGTGGGCCCACAGAACAGAGCGCATGAGGGTGGGGGCTGGAGGACCGAGGACAGAGGCTGGATTAGCATTCAGGAAACTCTGCAGGGCTGAACATATTGGACCTGGTGACGCCCTCTCAGGATTCAAAGTCCCGAGATGGAGAGGTGTCACACACCCGCTCTCAGATTTCTGTGCTGGGGAGGGGAGACGCTGTCCCCCTAGCTTCTACATGGGTGACAGGCACTCCCTCCCACCAAGGAGGTGCGGGGTGCTGTTCGGACGAGGGGGTTGGGTGCTGCACAGGGAACGAACGTGTGGTCACTGTGCACTGTAGCTGCCCACTGAGGAGTCCACCGCATCGCAAGGGGAACTGAGTGACTATATACCATTGCAGTTGGCCAGGCGGTTTCTTCATAGAAGAAGGTGCCTGACTTTGCAGGGACCCCCATACATTTGTGTGTGTTGTGGTTGGAACGTGTAGAGTGGGCCAGCCCGGCGTGGCCCAGCAGTTGAGCATCGACCTAGGATCCAGGAGATCACGGTTCGATTCCTGGTCAGGGCACATGCCCGGGTTGGGGGCTCGATCCCCAGCAGGGGGCGTGCAGGGGGCAGCTGATTAATGACTCATCACTGATGTTTCTATATCTCTCTCTCCCTCTCCCTTCCTCTCTCTGAAATCAATAAAAATATATTAAAAAACACACACACAAACCCAAATGTGTAGAGTAAGAAGGAGCCATTGCTGAGAGTGTTTCATAGGCTGGATGACGGGACCGACGACAGTGTCTCTGGCTTGGCCATTCTGGTCATTGTGACCTCCTCTCTTGTCTTCACAGATTCCCTTCGGGTTCTTGACCTTGAAGCTGCAAACATCACTGCCACGAGCATGACCCTGACCTGGAAACTCAATGATAATGACTCGTCCTCTGTCTACATCTATGAGATTCAGGTTGTTGGGGAGACTAATCTGTTAATTTTCAACGCCACCGAGACTCGGGCTGTCATCTCCCCGCTCAGCTCCAGCACCTTTTACAACATCACCGTGAGCCCTTTCCTGCAGGGCGGCGCTGCGGGCGTGCCGGCCTCCCTCCAGGTGTACACCCGTGAGTTCATGCGCTGTTTGCTCACCTTTCTCACCTGCCTGCCATGCTCCAGGCCCGGGTACAAGGCTCTGGTCCTGCCCTCCGGGAAAGCAGAGCCGAGTGTGTGCATCCACAGGACTTGGATCGTGGACTGACCCTGCCACACGCCTAGCGTGTGTGATGCGCTTTCCTCGCCCTGTCTCATTTACTGTTCATAGCCCTGTGACGGGGTTGCCATTGGGGTATTTTACGGATGAGGCAGCCAGGGCTGAGAGAGGGGCTGTAGGCAGGTGTCACACCTGGCAGGTGACGGAGGTGGGATTAGACAGGTGGGGTGTCTCGACTCCAGCCTGTGCTTGTAATGATCATTCTGGTGTGGCAGGGACCTGGAGCGAATTGCTACACGGAGACAAAAAGAACCCGGACATTCATGTCCCCTTGTCCCTGAGGTACTGACGTTGCAGTGAAGGAGGACACAGCTGCGGCTCCTCCCTGGTCTGCTTCACTGTCGCTTAAAGATAAGATGATAGGCAGCACATCAAAAGCTTTTTGTCCCGAAGAAGGTCCAATAATTTAAAACAGTAGCGGTGTACCAGTCGAGTAGGATAATGCCGTAACAGCACCGGGCAGCAGCGCCTTCACGGGGGGTATCAGGATCCCTGTTCTACAGATGAGAAGGCGACAGCTGAGCACAGCCCAACAGCTGGCCCAAGGCCACAGAGCCGGCAGGTGGCGGAGCAGGGACTCAGACCCAGGGTGCCTGGCTCTGGACCCAGCGCTCGTCCCCACGAATGCTTTCCTCCAGGGTCCGCTCCTTCCCAGGAAGCGCACCCGCGGCGGCCAAGGCCCCACTCAGACCCTGACCCTTGACCCCCGGGGCACGCCGCCTCTCGTTTCCCGTGAATGACCTTGAACAGCCTAAGCAGACAGTTTCTGCCAAGGGTTCTCTCAGTGGCCAGTGTCTGGGGGGTTCGCACTGTAGGCAACCGTACAAGCAAGAGAAGAGAGGTCAGGTGCCATCTGACCTCAGTGCGAATATTTTGTGAGGTTCAGGCACTCTGTCTTCTGGAGATCGATTCTTATCAAGTCCTCTGCTTTCTTCCCTCAGCTCCTGGTCCAGTTTCCGACTTTCGAGTGACGAGCGTCACCACAAGGAGTGTCAGCTTGGCGTGGAGCAGCAATGACTCGGATTCCTTTAGGATACTTACCAGACAGGACGGAGCTGGAGAACCTCGGGAGGAAACAACCAACCAGAGCAGTATTGTCATTGGTGGCTTATACCCTGGCGCCAAGTACTGTTTTGAAATATTTCCACAAGGACCGAACGGGACTGAAGGGGATTCCCAGACAGTTTGCAACACAACTGGTGAGCAAATAGGCTGTGTCTTTGGTGAAACAGTGATGGTTCTTAAAGGAAATTGATATAATTGATCAATGTCAGGTTTTCCAAATATTGCTTTTCTTTTAATTATCTCAGAAATTTTTTTTTTTTTTTAAAATAAATATATATTTATTGATTTCATAGAGAAGAAAGGAGAGGGAGAGAGAGATAGAAACATCAATGATGAGAGAGTCATTGATCGGCTGCCTCCTGCACGCCCCCTGCTGGGGATCGAGCCCACAACCCGGACATGTGCCCTGACCGGGAATCGAACCCCGATCGCCTGGATCCTGGGTCGACGCTCAACCGCTGAGACACACTGGGCCAGGCTCAGAAAAATCTTTAAAAAAATTTACAATGGTAAATTCATTCTATAAAATAGATATTCATTCTATAAGATACAGACAAGACAAAAGAAAAAAAATCACATATAAACCATGAACCAGAGATAATCACTGGTAACTTTTGATGTACATTGTTTTATAATTGAAAGATATATACAGGTATACATGTATATAGGGTGTATACACACTTTGAATAATTACTAATTCCAATGGGTTAAATCTGAAAAGAAAGAAACATCAATTGAGCTATCAGAAAAAAATGTGTATACATTTTTTGGGACACCCTGTATACACACACACATACCTATACATATATATTTTCTTTTTTTAAAAATAAGTCCTTACCTGAGGACATGCTTAGGGAGAGGAAGGGAGAGAGAGAGAGACGGAGACAGAGAGACATTGATGTGAGAGAGAAACACTGATCGGCTGCCTTCCGCACGCTCCCTGACAGGGATCAAACCAACAATCCGGGCGTGTGCTCTCACCAGGAATCGAACCGTGACCTCCTGGTTCATAGGTCAGTGCCCAACCACCGAGCCACGCCGGCCAGGCTCAGTGGGGATTCTGAGATTCTCCTTGTGTAGGTCTCTTCGACTCTGTTGGTTGGGTTCAGCACTAATAGTCACTGGGAAGATCTCCCCCAGAATAAGGGAAATGCTAAAATGTATCCGTCAGATGAAATGCAGCAATTCCCTTTTAAGTCTGAATTTTAGAGCAGACTGTTGAGATGGGGTCTTAATATCAACATACATTTTTTCTTTCTTTCTGAGAATGTTGATAATGGTAATGGGAGACCCTTGATATTGTGTGACTTGCCAATGCCCAGACTTAATGTGATAATAATATAACATACGAGGGGTGTACAAAGTGCTGGGCTTTCATTCTGTTTTAAAAAACTTTTAACACAACTACATCAGGTGGGTGCTATTATGATCTCTGTTTTCCTGAGTAGGAAGTGGGGGCTCTCCATCTGAAGTAACTGGCCCAGAGGCCGTGAACTGGCCTCTGCCTGGCTTTGAAGACTGAGGTCTGAACCGCAGTGTGGACTGGCTCTGATACGGTGCAGCTGGGGAGTCGTTGAGGCCTAGTTGTGAGAAGAGGCATCTCTTGTACTAGAGCCTGTACTTGGGTCGCACTGAATGAATATCAACAAGAGGCAGTAGACTCTCAGGGGATTACCATTCTGTTACTGAACAACTTTTATTATTATTGGGGAAAATCAGTGTGACAGCATTAAGGGCAATTTTGAAAAAGGCAAACAAATACCATATGACCCAGCAATTCCACTTCTTTTCAGAATTGAAAGCAGACACTCAAACTGATACTTGGATACAACGTTCCTAGTAGCATGATTCACAATAGCCAAAAGGTGGAAGCAATTACGTGTCCATCAGTAGATGAACAGATAGACAAAATGTGGCATATCTATACAATAGAATATTATTCATCCATAAAATGTAATGAAATTCTGACCCATGCTACAACATGAATGGGCCTTGAAAATATTAACATTATGCTAAGTGAAAATAAGCCAGACACACAAGGAAAAGTATTATATGATTCCATTTATCCGAGGTACCTGGAAAAGGCAATTTTGTAGAGACAAAAAGTAAAGCAGAGGTTACCAGGGGCTGGGGGAGGGGGCACAGGGAGTTGTTGTTTAATGGGGATAGAGTTTATGTTGGGGATGATGCACGGTTTTGGGTATAGATTATTTATGGTGATGGTTACGCAACACTGTGAATGTACTTAATGCCCCTGTGTTGTATTCAGTTATTTCCGGGCCTTGATCTTTGCATTCACATTGTAGCTGGTTTAGTGTGTGAGGTGAGGTGGCCAGAGTGTAGCCCAGAGAGCTCAGGTGGGGGCTTTGCTTCTCACTCCCAGCTCTGAGCGTGGGGGGGGGGGC